ATGTTCAAACATTTTTCCTATTTTTCATGTTTTAAAAATATTTTTATTATTGACTTGTATATGTCATTTATATTCTCTGAGTATCTGTTCAATATTACATATATGTCTTAAGAAATACCTATTTGTTTCAGTCTGTAACTTGTCTGTTCATTTTCTTCATGGTGTCTTTTAATAAAGTTTAAATTTTGATGAAGTCTAACTTACAATGAGAAAAAGATTTTCTCCTTTTTTAAAAATCATCATCCGAGAATATTTTTCCATTGATTTCTTTTTTTAGAGAGAGTGGAAGACAGAGAGAAATATCAATGTGAGAGAAACACATCTATTGGTTGCCTCTTGCATGCACTCCACCAGGACCAGGGCCAGGGAGGAACCTGTAACCAAGTTACTTGCCCTTGACCGGAATTGAACCTGGGACCCTTCTGTCCGCAGGCCGACACTTTATCCACTGAGTCAAACCAGCTAGGACAAAAAATTTCTTTAAGTATTGCTTTTTGTGTTCTTCCAAGAAACTTTTGACTACTTCCAACTCATGGTGATTCTCTCCTATATTTTCTTCTGCAAATTTTACAGTTTGCTTTTCATTTATTTTATAATCTGTCTCAAATTCATTTTTATATGTGGTGTGAGATGGGGCTGCGGCTCTCTGCCACCCACACATACAGGTATCCCATACTTTCTGAGAGGCTGCTTCATTTTCACAAAATACCTACATTAGTACTTATTTTTGCTCACTGAAAGAAATAGACATTTGCTTTTATACAAAAAGGCAAAAAACTAGTGTTCAGAGTTTGTTTTGCAGTAAGCCTTACAGAGGCAGCATGCACCCTGGGAACCACAGATTCAAACCCCAGATTTTTGAGCTCTGCCTGCGAGCATCTGTGTTTTATGTCAACTTGTTTTGTGCATCTTTTAGCAAGATGTGTCCTAAGGTAATTGTTTCTTCACTGTACACTATTTCAACTTACAAAAGGTTTCATAGGAACAGTCTACTTTTCAATCCAAGTGACTGAATTTTGAAGGGTGCCCAGATGGTCCCAGGAGAAACAAATTAAGTTGAACAACCATTAAAAACTATCAATAGAGAACTTTTCTCATTAGCTATTCTCAGTACTGATAGCTATTATTTATTATAAAGTGAATCTGTACTGTAATGTCATATGGTAACTGATGTTTTTTGGTAGTGACACACAAAAAAAGCAAAAAACAAATAAACAGAAAAAAGTGGCCTATTGCTCAACGGGAGCACCCCAATTGGGGGCATTATTGGAATGGTCCTTGGAGCAGATTCATGAGGCTCTCCTTAAGAGCCCCCTTAAATTATCTGGAACAACAGAAAGATCAAAAGTACTCAAAACCAATATACCATTCCACAAATCTTTAAATTAAGTTGAAACTTCGGTTTAAAATGTAAAGTTTATTTTTTAAACAATAGATTAGTATTTCTAAATGTGGCAAATAGAGCTTAGTGACATGAAATCATGTAACTAAAAATATGGGGAAAAGCAGAGGAGCGAGTAGAGGTGGGCGGGGGAAATGAGGGAATGGCACAGGTTGCAGGGGGTCAGACACCTCCATCCTGCAGGAATGTGAAAGGAGCCTGGGCCAGTCCCAGTGAGTGGGTCCTGATCTTCTGAAGATGGTGGTATGAGCAGCCGCATGGCAATTGAAAAAAAGAGATGAGTAGATGAGGGGAGACTAAGAGTCATGCCCACCAACTGAAGTTTACTCTATTCTCTCCAGGACTGGGAGAGTGAAAAGGGGTGTGTGGGGTAGGACAAAGAAACTCTTTTGGAATTATTGGACCAATTTTGCCTCTGGTTGGTTATATGACCTGCAAAAGTAATTTCATTTTGCTGTGTTCGCTCACCTATTTTTTAAAAAAGAAATTATAAAATAAATAGCAACAGCATGCTTAGAGATGGATGAGTGTTGAATAAGTGAATATTGCCTCCAAATTATTGAATGACTATTTGACACGAAGCAAAGATTTTAATGAATCATCTATTTCAATTCTACCAAACTGTAATAAACATTTTTACCTCCGACTGAAAGGACGTGACCAAGGTCTCACAGGTAGTGCAGATAACTAGTCTAAAGTCCATCTTTTTATACCATGCCACACTCCTTCCTCTGATTCTCTCTCCTCCTGCGATTTGTCTTTCTTGCTGAGTATTGCTCAGAATCCAGTATATTTTATCACATTGGAAGCTGACACTACAGCCCCACCAAATAGCGATACACACCAAGAGTGAGCATGCCCTTATTTCAAGACCTCTACAGTCTTTACCTCCCCCACCCCTGGGACTTACACCTGTTTTGTGAATGTATGAATCCCAAATACCCCAGTCAAAAATATGTATTGAGTGGCTAATGGATGCAACAGGAAGCCATAAAATTTATTCTCTTTGAAACTCAGCTTATTGTACAAACATGTTCTTACACCTTTTCTTCGGAAAACGACCATTTTGAGTGTATCTGTATTATGTTCAATGAGGTTCGCTATTTTTTTCCAGTTGTACTGAGAAATGATTAACATGCATCACTGTGTACGTTTAGGGTGTACGTACAGCATGGTGGCTTGATTTGCATATATTGTGAGATGCTTAACACAATAGGTTCAGCTAACATTAATTTCCTCACATATGGGTAATAAAAGATAAATTTTCCTCATGATGAACTCTTATGATTTACTTTCTTAATAACTTTCCTATTTATCGAACAGCAGTGTTAGCTATGGTCATCCCTAGTACTTTTTATAACTGGAAGTTTGTACTAGGTTCGCTATTTTAAAAAACTATACAACCTTCTAAGTACTAGTCAGTGTGTGTAAGAGACAAGGACACATTTACATTCTAAAGGAATGTAGATGAAGAAAATTATTAAAACGAATAATAATCTGAAAGGATAACCTAACCTTGAAACCCGCCTGCATTGCACCGAGAGCGGTCATGGCCTCCTGACTTAGGGAACACCCTCCGCTTCCCCTCACTCTCTTCCAAAAGGTCCAGGATGCTGGCTTTCACTCGTACAGACACTGGGTTTTTGTTTCCTTTGGTGCTTGTTGCTAATAACTGAGAAAATCCTATTTCCAATATAACCATGCTCTTGAAACCATAACCCAAATACCCCGCTGGCCACCAGTATTGGCTCAACCCGTGATGGTTCACGACCAAACCATCTCTGTTCCTGGAAATAGACCCATGGAGGCCCAGTCATGCTCATTGCTTCTGAGCAAAATACATGAACACAGGCCAACGATCATTTTTATCAATTCCTTTTGGATTATCTTCATAGACTCTACATAATAGGTTCAGTCCGAATCCTAACTTTGGATTCACGAAGGTCCGGTGTCTAGAATCTTACAGGCTCCTAATGTGGGCCAATTCTTCTCTGTTCTAGCCTGCTGCAATCTCACATACAAAATCCTCTCAAATTCTCTGACATTCTCCATTAAAAAAAAAAATCTTTACTTAAAAAGACGGTCATTAAACTCTATTTTGAGATAAAAATGAAAGCAGTAGCAATAATTCAGTTTTCCATTTTGAATTTAAAATGTGCATTCTTTGTGGCCTTGGCATTTTTTTTTTGAAATGAACATTTTATTTTAGGAGGTAATTTATACACACATACACTGAATGTCAGCTTCCGCTGTTTTACGTTTTCCGAGGGGAGAGGCTGACACTGCAGCCCACAACACACACTTCTCTCCCAGTTAGAGGCTGACTGGGCGCCTTAGGACCAGGGCTGCTGTTTGGTAGATAACCAGGGCGTTTTAAGTGACAGATCTCTGGTTCCCAAACTTGAGCCGGCAGGCAGCAGATTCACGTGGGGGGCTTGTTCAAACACGGTGGCTGGGACGGCCCCCCGCTCCTGATTCTGTTGGTGGGGGGCCCTGGCCCGTGACATGTCTAACACGCTCACAGCTGGTGCAGGTGCCACTCTAGTTCCCCATGCTCCCCAGAACCGGTCGGTTCCCGGGAGTCTCATGGTTAAAGGCAGCATTTGTTCCCACAGAATCCTAAATAAACCCCCGAGAGCCCGTAGATGCCCACGGACCTTCCCTGCCCGCTGCCCCTGCCCCTCTCCCCGCGGGTCCGTCGGGTCCTGGGCGCGCAGGTGCCCCTGCCCGGTCCCCTCAGACCCACACCAGGGACCCCCCCACCTCGCTCATCACCCAGCACAGCGGCTGTTCCCTTCCCCACCTTCCCGTCCCAGAGACAGGAAAAAACTAAAGTGGACAGAGAAGGATGGCGGGGGGCCACCGGGGGCGGAGGGGAGACAGGGGGCAGGGCACCCCCAATTGGGAGGAGGAGGGACAGAGGGCAGGGCAGAGAAGATGGAGCCGAGCAGCGACGGAGGAAGGCAGAGCTGCCCCAAAGGTGGAGCAGGGCGGGCAGGGGAGACAGGGAAGAGGACAGTGAGGAGCCGGGGACGGGGACCCGCCGGCTCCCCTCAGTCCGGCCGTGGCACCCCGAGCTGCTCGGCGTCAGGCAGGGGACGGAACGGGGACGGTGCCCGAGTGACCGGCCCCCCGGCTGACCCAGACCAGCCCTGAGGGACGAGGACCTGGGTGACCGTTAACCGGCCGGTGGCAGGGACTGGATGGGGGACAACGAGGGGACCCGCTCCCTCGGGCCCGGCCGCGGGCGCACTGAGCCGCACGGCAGCGCACCTCCCAGCGCCGACTCCTCCGGCGAGCGGCTGCCTGCGCCTTAAATACCCTGCTAAAAATAGCCTGCGAGGCCACCTTCCAATCAGACGTGCCCGAAGTTCGAATTTGGCCAATAGCGAGGGCCGTGAGAGAGAGGCTCGGTCACGCCAGGCGGGGCCGCGCTGAACTGGCGCCCGCCATTGGCCCCAGCTGACATCATCGGCGCGCAGCCCCCGGGACGGGCGCGGCGTGATTGGGCGGTGCGCGGGGCGGGCCGGACAAGTCACGTGGGGGGGAGGGAGTGGGGGGAGCTAGGCGAGGAGGAGGGGGAGCTGGCAGCGGAGGTTTGAATAGGGAAGTTTTGCAGGGGTTACGTTTGCAGTCAGTCCGGTGTTTGCAAATATTGTGTGGGCTCGCGAGCGCGTCTCTGGACTCCGGCAGGATCTGAACCCGCGGCGCCTCACTGCTGGGCACTGAGTTTGCATGAAACTTTCCCTGCGCTGCAGGCACGGCCGCTGCGCTCCCGACTCCAGACCGCACACCTCCGTGTTGGTTCAACAGCGGGGACTGTCTTTTCCAAACCGACATGGATGTACTCCCAATGTGCAGCATCTTCCAGGAACTCCAGATTGTGCATGAGACCGGGTACTTCTCGGCGCTGCCCTCCCTGGAGGAATATTGGCAACAGGTAAATAGGAATTATGTGCCAGGTACCCCGGTGCGCCACGGAGGGTGCATCACGCACGGACAGTCCTGGTGTGTGGTTGAAGGTGCACTGCTTTTTCTTTTTTTTTTTTTTTTATGGTTTGGGTAAAAAAATTTTTAAATTAAAATAATTATTCTTAAAACATAGTCCTGCTGTCTCCGGTGCGGGAGGCACTTTGAAAAAGCTTTTTCCAGCTTGGAGCGGAGTTGTCATTTGCGCGGAGCGCAGCAGCGCTTCGTTGCTCCCAGTGTTTTAGCCCGTTTCTGGGGCTTCTGAACCGGAGGGCAGACCCAGCTCCACCGGCTGATCTCACGGCGCGAGCCCTTGGCAGAAGTTTGGTGCTTGTACCAGCTCCAGACTCCACAGCTGGAACTTGTCATTTGAACTTGCGTGGAAGCCAAGGGTATTTTTGTCAAAGATATTTGTTTTTGTTTTCCTTTTTGGTCTTTGTACTTAAGACAGTTTTGTGTTTATTTTTTTAAAATTAGAAATTTCACTAGCAAAACACCCACCAGCTCTTTTTCTCTACCAGGCCATTGCTTCTTTGGCATCCTTAACATTTACCTCCATCTGCCTTGTTTTTCTTACCTGCTTCTTTTGTTAAAAAAAAAAAAAAGAAAGAAAGAACGTTTGCACAATCAGTGACTTATCAGTCATATGACAGTGAGCTCTTCTAGTCTGAGTTTGGGAAGAAGAGCCTCAGTTTCCGGCATTTTTTTTTTCTAGTGAAACTAGAATTTTGGGCATTGGACAAATCTGAAACTTAATTTTTCCCCTTTCTAATTTATCAGTATTGCCTGAAGGGAGAGAGATTCTGACACTTGTCACATTGTTTTTTTTAAAGATAGAAGGGGCTGTCTCTCTGCCCTGCTAGAATGTTGGCTTTTGTCACAAAGTACAAATATATTCTGTGGATTTCAAAGCCTAGAAAGCTTTAAGAGGGATGAAGTGCAGTGTGGCAACCTTCTAACGCCTGCTTGATTGTTCTCAGTCCTGTCCTGCCTTCCTCTCCCCTGCCCCCTTTTCCGCCTTAAGAAGCTGCTCCCTAGGACGTGATTGAAATTGATCTAAGTAGTTTCCTTCGGGCATTTGGGATTTGGGCCCCAAGCCAGGCTGAGCTCTCCTTCGCCTTCAGAGGCTTTTAAACTCTGAGAGCTTCGCTCCGGTCCCCAGAGCTCATCAGCGTAATGGAGATTTTAAATTAGCCAGATGATAAAGTTTAATAAGATCTCAATAAATGTGCTTTTGTTTTTCTTTGGAACATCCATAAAATATCTAGCCATCTCTCCTCAGAACGCTCTGGCCTGCCGTTGTAACCTAGACATACAGTTTTAGGGGTAAAGGGAAAACAATGGTTGTTTTTCCCCCCTTTGCTTGCTCATGCTTGCTCCGTGAGGATTCTGTGGGGAGGGGGAAGGGTTTGTGTGCTATATTATGATCGCAGGCACGTTGCTAAGAAAGCAAGCATGAGTGAGCCCTTTGGGTAGCTTAGCTAGTCCTGACCATGATTTGCTAAAAAGGGCAGAGTCGGCTGTAGAAATGTAAATCTGTAGAATTGCGGTCGTATAGACAACCTTATATGGCCATCCAGGCAATTGATCCTAGTGAAGAGAAGGGCAGATATAATTTAATCCTAAAATGTTTCCTACCGTTTTTCTTTTCCAGTGGCTAGAAAGTTTGAGATGGTGGGGAGAGGGGATGCTGGTCTCTCGGCAGTGGTAGCTTCTTGAAAGGTTGGTTGTGGGTCTGGGGAGGGGGCACTCTGTCCATGACACACTGCATGCATATCTGAACCGGGTTCTTTTTTGGCTGCTGGTCAGAATTTCAAAAGGAAGTCTCCTCTGGCATTGCGTGAAAGAAATAGAGTGATGACTCATACAGTTGTACTCTTGGCCAGTAGATAAAGTTCTTGTCCATTGTGGCACTCCCAGCAGGGCCGGGAGGAATTTCCCCTCCTGCATCCTTTACAATAGCAGATGGCCATTCTGGAATGATTTCTCCCCTCTGTCGTAGAAGCTCTTGTTTTTCTCTGACCACTGTGGAAGTCATTAAAGTTGTGTGTACCCATGGCCCTGCACTTGGGAATGGCATTCTTTGAAAGCCTACTAGGTCTGGGCTAAGCAGGAAATGGGTGGTTTCTGTGCAGCTCCATTGATGTCCTTGAATATAGACCATCAGCTTGCTGCGTCTGCTCACTGAGTGTGGCCCTGTGCTGTCAGCTGTGTCTGCAAAGGGAGACACATGCAATGTCAGAACACATTGCATTGTATGCGTTGCAGCCTTTCTGTTTTGTGCTTGAGAAAGGAGGATGGCTGGGTTTCTCTTAATTGCACATGGTTCTCGAGACTGTCAGATAATCTGGCTAAACCTGTAGGGGGGTGTGTCTGAGGCTGGTTTTCTTTGTGTGGTTTACAGAAACTCATTAGAAATGTCAACACTGGTAACTATAACAAAAACTGGCTGAGTGACCTTCAGTCACTGTGGCCTTTGGTCCAACATGGTATTTCTTCTGAATCCATCCCCATTCCTAGAAACAGCTTTCCTCTTGCTCTCCTAAAGACACGGTTCTTATAGTGACATGGCCACAGTCTGTTTGCCCTTCATCCCTGCATGTATTTTGGAAATATGCTTTTGGTTCCATTTTCAGTTGTCATAATCACGTGCCTTCTTGTGGTTCCTTTCGCACAGACCTGCCTGGAGTTGGAACGCTATCTCCAGAGTGAACCCTGCTATGTGTCAGCCTCTGAAATCAAGTTCGACAGCCAGGAAGATCTGTGGACCAAAATTATTCTGGCTCGGGAGAAAAAGGAAGACCCGGAAGTGAAGGTTTCCTCCAGTCCCCCTGAGGATGCTCTCAGCAGCCCCAGCTTTGGCTACAACCTGGAGACCAACAGCTTGAACTCGGATGTGAGCAGCGAGTCATCGGACAGTTCCGAGGAACTCTCACCCACTTCCAAGTTTACCTCCGACCCCATTGGCGAAGTGCTGGTCAACTCGGGGAACCTGAGCTCCTCAGTCACCTCCACACCCCCTTCTTCCCCAGAACTGAGCAGAGACCCTTCCCACCTGTGGGGCTGTGCACCCGGTGAGCCGCACCCTCCAGGGAAGATACGCGGTGGGACTTCCGGGAAGCCGGGTGACAAGGGCAGCAGCGGGGACGCCTCCCCAGACGGCCGGAGGAGGGTGCACCGATGCCACTTTAATGGCTGCCGAAAAGTTTACACCAAAAGCTCCCACTTGAAAGCACATCAGCGCACTCACACAGGTCAGTCCCTCCTGCGACCCGGGAGGTGGGCCGCTGGTGGGCGCCACTGAATTGCACCAGCCCTGGGAGGGGGCCGGGCTCCGCAGAAGGCTGTCAGAGCAGACACATCCTCACCTCACTCTTTCCCTAAAGAGATGGGTCTCTGGGAAAGACAGAGTAGGAGGTGAAAGACTGGACATGTGCCGATGAATGGTTGACACTTTCAGAGTAAACAGACAAGAGGTAAATCACGTTCTCCATCTCCACCCAACCCCCTACCCACTCCAATCCTCCCGGTTATCAGGAACCACTGTGATAGTGTTACATGGAATTGCCTCTGATTTTTTTTTTTTTTTTTGAAATGAAACTCAAAGATCAGGAGAGAGGGTGGCTGGACAGCATGGTGCACGCTGGTGTTGACAGTGTGGGGATTGAACTTGACCATAAGCTCTGTGTAACAGTTTTGATCAGTGGGAATTTCTCTGTGGATCATGCTGTGCTTTTGTTTTCTGATACCAATTTTTAAAAACCACAAATTGAAAAAAAAGTTTTTAATGAAATACTACAACCTAGCCGTAGCCAGTTTGGCTCAGTGGTTAGAGCATTGGCCCGCGAACTGAAGGGTCCTGGGTTCAATTCAGGCAAGGGTACATACCCCCTCCTTCCCCCTCTCTCTAAAAATCAATGGAAAAATATCCTCGGGTGAAGATTAACAATAACAACAACAACAAAAAAAGAAATACAGCAGCCTAGATGAAAGTTCTATTGAAAATTACTATTATAGTCTCTAGGGTAACTGGTGATGAGTCACAGAAATGTTAGAGCTGGAAGGGACCTTAGAGATCAAGTCACTCAAGCTCTCATCCTACCAGTAATGAGAGGAGATGGCTGAGCCCTCGGCCAGGGTTCCCAAGATGGTCATGGCCGAGGGGGATCAGGACCCAGGTGCCATTTGTCCCAACAGCATTCTCTGCGACTGGTTTTGGCAAAACGGTTCCTGTCCTCAGGTAGCACTTTTTAGTGGATTCATATTTATAATCTGACCAAGGAACAAAGTGGACTTGGTTATTTCATTGCCATTTAGAAAGTTCTTTGACAGCCCTGGATGGGGTTTCCCAGAAACTCATGACTTCATTTCTGGAGAAATGTAGTTTCTCGGAGGAAACAACAAAGCTCATTCCACAGGGAAGTGAGTAAGGAGCAAAATAAGTACTTGGGAGAAACCGTTTCCATGGAGAAAGCAATAAAACCCTGCCCTCACAGAGGCTGTGGGTCCAGTGGGCTGACACATCACCTCCCAAGTATTTCTTCAGTCTGAGTAATCGTCTTTCTTACATATTAACTGACTAAGGTCATGTGGGCTCCGGGTGCTTCCACAGCACTTGGAGGCCTGAGGCTAGGTCAGGGAAGAGCTCCTGGGTGTCACCTTCTGAGCCCCAGCTGCTGTTCCTAATTGAGGTGTGTTAGGAATTCCCGAGGCCACCAGACCTGGCGCTTGCTAATGGGTTGACTTTCACCAGGTGGTGGTGTAGCAGGGCCCCTTCCCTCACTGGACAGTGAAGTCATGGCATGCTTGTCTTGTGCTCTCTTCCCAGGAGAAAAGCCTTACAGATGCTCATGGGAAGGGTGTGAGTGGCGTTTTGCAAGAAGCGATGAGTTAACCAGACACTTCAGAAAGCACACTGGTGCCAAGCCTTTTAAATGTTCTCACTGTGACAGGTATGTGCTTGAAGCGCTGGGTTCGGGAATGCCATCCCCGTAATGGTGTAGGCATACAGTAAACCTGGAGGAAGGCGAATGTTTTCCCAGCCTGTATTGTGCTGTTTTAGCCTTGGACAGGTCTCTAATATGCCTATTGTCCAAGTTAGGATGCTCTGTGTCCTGTCTGTGTAAAACCAGAGTGATTTCATTCCTACTGAAGTAGGCCTTCAGTAGTTTTTGAATTTCAAGACTGGGCAGTATTGTGCTCCAAAGAGCTGAATGGAGACCTTAATTTATATTTCTATCAGTTGGAATTTCCTAACCCTGAAGATAAATTGTGATGATTCAGTGGATTGCCAGCTTCCCTTTGAGAAGGGCTGGGTGGGGGTGTGCAGGGTGGGAGATCTGTAATCCAGCGAAGGCTGGAGATCTAACCTCTCTGATGCTGACTGTTTCTGCAGGTGTTTCTCCAGGTCCGACCACCTGGCCCTGCACATGAAGAGGCACCTCTGAGGGAGCAGAGTGTGAATTCTGCGGCTAAAACGGCTTCCAGGCTGAGAGACGGCCATGGAAGGAGGGTGCGTGTTCCAGCCAAAGCATGCCATTTTGCACCCCACCCAGTTGCCTCCAGGACCTCTCCTTGGAAGGTCTTTCGAAGGCGAAAGAAGTCATGTCAGAAGCGGCAGAGCGCCTGTGGTGTGTGGTGTTTGGGTGGCCTGGACTCGCCACTGGTACCTATCTTCTGAGTGGTCCCTAAGCCTTTGCCGTGAGCATGTGCACTGAGAATGTTAATGGTTGGGTTGATTGTATGTGGAGGATCTATTAGGACTGTGTGATGAGGCAGAGTCTTTCCTGTGCAGTAGCAAGACTGCAAGAGACAGAAAAAAAATCGTTTGAATGTTTTGTGTGTGACAGGTAAACCATGAGATGAGATGACCACCAATCATTTCTTTGGGGGGTGGGAGGGTGTCTGCGCCTTAGGAAAAAAAAAAAAGAAAAAAAAGAAGGGAAAACATGGAGGGCGGAGTGTGAGTGGTCAGAACCCTGTGTGGCGAGTGGATGTGGGAGGGGGAGCCCTCCTGTGTGAGAGGAACATTGGCGTCTGGTGCAGCTACGAATCGAATCGTGCAATGTGTCAAGTAGCTTGTTCTACTGGCTACAACAGCTCATTTGTTACCCTTTGTATAAGCTGTGTATTTACAAATATAACACAATGGTAACCTTTCCTTATAAGACAAAAGTAATGCATGGTCTAGGGAACTTTCTGCTTTTCCATTTTTAAATCAGAACTACAATTTTGATTCCAGTTACTGAGCAGCTAAGATACAATTTGTTGAAATCAGTGATCCCTAGCCATTTGGGCCTGGCAATACACAATTTCTCTCCCCTTCGATTTTGTAACACTCCCCTTCCAGAAAGGTGGTGTGCAACATAGGATTGTTTTTTAAATGATTCTGAATTTGATGACCTTTTTGGAAATTTAATGATGCCCTTCAAGACATTGGACACCTACTGGGTGTCAAGAATGCGAGGGCTGGGAACTCCTGGTCTAATGTTACATTAGACTAAGAACCTAAAATTTTCTCAGTTGGGTGGATAAAACCACTAAAGCTTAGAAAGTGTTTTCTCATGCAGCTATGTTTCTCTTATTTATGCCTTGAGGACTAATTTCTGGTTTTCTAGCTGTTAATGCACTGTAGATCTTAATAATGGTGCCTTATGCAAGTGGCCCCTTATGTGGGGGTCTCATACAGGGGTATGGGTGATGCATGCTTTATTAAGGCTCTTTTTTCACCTGGCATTGTACTGTATCAATGTAAAATACAGAAAAAATCTCTTTAAAGTCCTCCTTCACAAAGACAAATAGAGAGATGAAAACCCCCCAAACAAGTCAGTATTTACTCAATATTTTGCATAACTTGACCATCAGTGTTAAAATGGAAAACACATGATAATTGAAAAACCTGACCATTTCTGCCACCATGAGACTTTTCATATAGACTTTGCACAACAATTGTATAGTTCACACACCGGCTGTATTTAATATGTAATGTTTTCACGCATATTAAAGATACAGAAGTATAAAAAAAACAATGTTAATGTATTTGCTTAAAAGGCACAAGTTTCACATACCTATCTAGCTATTTGTTGGTAATACAGAAAGTATATTAATTTTTTAAAAGTGGGCAGAATTCTTGTGTATGTATATTTGTGTGTATAGTATGTATATGTTTGTGTGTGTATATATATATACATATATATAATATATAAATATTTTTTTAAGGAGAAATTAGATGTTTAGCTAGAAAATTTCACAGCCTGTGAAGAAATATTTCAAAATGGCCATAAAGGAGGTAAAAATGAAAACTATAACTTTTATAAAGGCTTTATCTTTAATTTAATTATTTGCTGTAGACTCTTGGCAAGGACTCTGTTCCAGACTGCTGACTCTGCTCATCTTACTGCCAGGTCTGGAACAGGGTACTGTTGGCCACTCAAAATTGGCATGAACGGAATACTAGCCCACAAGTTGGTCTCAGACACACTATGGTTTTGATTTTTAATTTCAGCCTTATTAGAAGATCTAAGAGTCAGCTAATTACAGGGATTTTTTTAGAACACTTTTTATGCAGATGAAGTTGGTTTTTTGTTGTTGTTTTTTTTTAGTACATAGATTCTTCCCATTTTTCCAATGAATAATTTCCCTGAATTGGCACACCACAGTGTGGACAGCTGATATTTCATCCAGCTGCTGGCTTGTGGGTGTGGATTTTTTTATATATATATACATATATATATACACATGTGAGTCTGGCTGGGCTGGTATTTTGTTTGATCTTCCTGGAAATGAGCAATGATGAAAGCTCGAATAACTGGTTTTTTTATCTGGGCTGATGAATACACTTACCTAAAGAACTCATTTCATTTTGCTAAGGGGGAAAATGCACTTTTGGCAATTCAAAATCCAGGCACTTGATTTGCTGGATTTTGGAAAACTCCTTTTTTGGCCCTGCTGTGCGCCTAGCCATAACAATTCCATTAAGTAAGAAGGTAAACAAAAGACAAAAAGGAAAAAAAAAAACACGCAACTTGCACTGGCTTGTCTCACTTATGAAACACCATGGAGTTGTTTGATTGGGTGGGGCTGGGTGCCGTGTATATCAATGCCTGTAATTTTCATAATAAGCAAGTACATAAAGAATTATATTCTGTTCAGGTGATAACTGAGCCTCAATCAAGCAGAAACTTTTTGCTTGACATTAAAAAAAAATTTCTATTAGTGAAATTTCTTTTTTTTTGAAGCACCCTGTTATCTAAAGAATCTTTGTAAGATTTTTGTAAAATTTTGTTTTACAAGATTTTATTTGAAATTGTTTTTTGCAAGATTGTTATATTTCTGTATGAATGTATTTTTTATTGGAATAACATAAAAGAATTCTTATCAGGATCTCGACTGTGCTTGGTTTTTTCTTGGGGCAGGGCGGGGATGGGTGGGGGGGCGATGAAACAAATTCCTGCTCTATTAGTCAACCTTGGGAAATGTCCCTTGTACAACTCTGAAAGCCTCTTGCCAGCCTAGTCCCTTCCTTCCAGCTTCACAGCCTGACCTGGGAGCTAATGTGCAAGAACAGCCTAATGTTGCTCCCCTGAAATGCACTGAATTTCCTTAAAGCAACCTCCAGGCTTAGGCTTTGGGGCACAGTAGGAAAACATTTGCTCCTGCGTTTTATCTTCCTGTCACTCCAGCCAGGGGAATAACACCGCAGAGGCATCTGCACAATGACAAACTTGAATGCTTCCTTTCCCTTTCTCGTGCTCCAGCAGCCCTATTCCAGTTAAGCAGTTAGATCAGGGCCAGCCTTCTCTGACCTGGCCCACACACCTGGCGGAGCTGTCACAGAGGAAGGCAAAAATGACAGGAAGGGACAGCAGGCCACAAAGCTGTCCTGGCTTTCTACAACCCACCCTTCCATACCCCCTGCCTTCTCTGGTAGACCAGTAAGATGGGGTAGAAAGTAAGAGGTTGTTTACATGATCACCAGATAATTTTGTATCTTTTTCTTTAAAGGCTAATGGGATACATTCAATGTAGAGTTTGAAAATAAATAGTCCACTTTTGGATTTTTAGAAAGGTTTCATGTAAGTAGCCTTAGATCTTGGTCCCAGTTTTACTGCGTATTAGTAGCATCGGTTTATCTGCAAGTCCATTTTCAGGCCATATCAAGCTAATCAGTAGTGATAGGTTAAAGCAATGTGTGCTTTCCAGAAGGGGCTATAGGATGGTGGAAATTTTCATGGGAAAGCTTAATGTTCTTACTTTAACTGAGGAAGTTCTCACATTTCGGTTGCTTTAAGTGCTCATGACTTCATAGCAGATCTTTGTTTTGCTAGATGTGCAGACTTTACACTAGCTTTTAATTTTATAATTGGGGACAGGAATTTTTAAATGAATCCCCAATGTTAAGTGGCTTTCTAGAACTGCAGTAAAAATATCAGCAATTCGGGAGGAGTTGTTGGCGTGGGAGGGTGGAGGAAGCTGATGAAAATTTGGCCAGGACTCATGGGTGTGTTGTGTTCTGAAACACATGTCAGGATGACTAATAGTTGGATTGCCCTGACTGTATGGCTAAATAAAGGCTTGATAATGCATTCTCGGCTACTGGTAAGACTTGACCACTTTGTCATGTGCAGACTATGCTGAACAGCTCAGTTATGTTCAAATAAGGCTGTTAGGAGAACTGTTGTGCAAGGAATCAGCTGTAAACCTAACATATTTATAGAAGTATAAAAAATTTCAGTCTGCTTAACAAATTTTTTGAAACCTAGCTCAAAGAAAGGAAATGTTCCCGTTCTAACTAGTTGCTGTGTGCTCTTGGACAATTTGCTGAGCTACAAGGGACCTCCACTTTCTTATTGCTGAAATATTTTGAGCTAGGTCACATGCATCTAGCATTTTATATAGCACTACAATTCTGTGGTCTGTGAGAATAGGGTGGACTTGAAATTATAGGTTCACCATCTATGGATACTCAGCTCAGATCTAGAAAGCTCTCTCATGTGCTATAGTAGAAAGTATTGTTGAGAGAATTGCTCTGACTTAGAACGGAAACAGAAAGTTCTCAAATTGCCCTTTGCCCCTTTAATTATAGTTAAGTTATTCAGGCATTTGGTGCTTTATAGCATGCCATTATTTTATTTCAAAAATAAACAAACAAAAGATCTCTTTAAAAAGTGCCATTGTAGCTATTGCAGATCCAAGTCTGTCATATCCGCCCCCCCCACCAATCTTAGTCCATACACCCATGTGCACAAACAGTGGGGGAGGTGACTAGAGTCAAGTTGTTCACCTTTATATTGTGGTTGCTGTGGAGAAAGAACATAGCTTTTATATGTAACTCCTTTCTTAGGTCCTAACCTTATGGCACCATGAGCTATTTTTTAACAACCCTCCTTCCCAACTAAATTCTTCCTCTCCCCAAATTGGGTGATAAAAATGATAAAAAAGATGATGATGTCTACTACTTTTTTTGCCTTAACCAGGAACTGGGTAAGGCAATATGTCGCGCGCGTGTGTGTGTGTGTGTGTGTGTGCGCGCGTGTGTGTGTGTGTGTGTCTGTCTGTAGAATGAACCATTCCCATTTCACATATGAGGAATATTGAAGCTTCAGGAAGTGAAGCTGCTTTCCCTAGATCACTTAGTTGCAGGCAAGCATCCAATCCAGGGCTCTCAAATGGCAAAAGACCAAGGTTTTAATCACCACTGAACACTGCTTTCTGTCTCACCCAAGTTCCCACAAGAGCCTGTCGAATTCACCTTAAAATGAAGTTACATTTATGAAATGGAGACAACTTTCTTACAATTCAGAAGCACTAAAGCTATAAACTGTGCTGTAATTCTGAGCAAACAAAGTAACCATTTTGAATTGCTTTCAAGATATGAGACAGATGGCATGTATTTATTTTTAATGTTTAAGAAGATAGAGAACACAATTGGGGATGTGACATCCTGCATTAATTGGCAAGCATCACCTAATGTACGTAGTTAAGACACAAAGAGAGGAAAATTAGGGTCATGCATCACCCAAATGAGGCAATACAGCAAAGTGTATTTAACTAGATTTATTTTATAACATGTTCTCTTTCCCTCTAAGTAATTTTAATGAGAATTCTCTAAACAACTGTGAATGAAGAGACAAAGAGGAGAAGGAATCTGGGTACCACATGTCTTGATAGGAACCACACTGGGCTGAGCAGTTACCAAAGAATTTTCAATAACAGACAGACTTAACTACCATGTCCATTGTCATTGAGTCCCTCTCCAAATAGCTTTGTACTGATTTCCCTGTACACTACATAACCCATGCCAAAAGCAAAACAAGACAAAACAAAAAAACACCACATGATCTAGGATTGTTCCTTAAATTAAGAGCCCCCAATTCAAAGCTGCCATGAACAAACAATTATTAACTTTTTAAAAGGTTTAGCTGCTTAGATAATAGATTACTGTGTACCACACCACCTATGAGCTTTTCTGAAGGTTGTACTTGCTAGATGCCCAAGCACATTTATCTATGACTTGCATTTATCAGCTAAGCATAGCTCTGTTCCCCTCCATTGCTTAAGTTTCATGTTACCACATTTCATTTGAGTTGTGCAAGACTTTCCTGCAGATGTGCAAGGTAGGTAATGACATGCGCTGGCATTATCAATTAGCTCAGTGTAAAAGCAGGTGACAGTGCCCGGTGTCATTTTTCTACTTGTGTTGGTGAGGAGATGGGAGCACATGGGATAGGTAAGATGGCAGTAATGGCAGTGTGCCCTACTGTCCCTTTCACATGGGAATGACTGTAAAAACTTCTTCACTTTCACCCCCATCTTCACTTGTATGAAGATCATCCTCCCCAAAATAGGTCATTTATTCACAAGCTCAAAAGTCAGAGCAAGCCTGCTGCTCACCATGAGACGTGTGTGTATTTAAACTGTAAAAATTTAACTCTTGAAGGTAAAACTGCCTTTGGGCAAAACTGAGATATATAAGTTATTTAAAGTAAATTTTAAAAAATAGTGTTTGCTACAGGTTTTATTTTTAAATGTATATTTTATTGATTTCAGAGAAGAAGGGAGAGGGAGAGAGAGATAGAAACATCAATGATGAGAGAGAATCATGGATGGCTGCCTCCTGCACTGGGGATCAAGCCGAAACCCGGGCATGTGCCCTCACCGGGCACGTGACCTCCTGGTTCATAGGCCGACACTGATCCACTGAGCCACGCTGGCCAGACAATGATGTTTCAGTTTTAAATATCTATCTGTCCTTATGCTCTATCGGAAGATGGGGGCCAGGTAATAGCAGAGAGGACTCATGGGACAAGAGGCCTCTCAAAGTCCAGCATTTCTGAGTTTGTTCCCAGCAGCATCCCTCAGTTCTAAATGGTCCGGGCAGAGGTGCAGTAAAAAGGGTTACTGGAGCTTTGCTGAGTGGAATAGCCACACACTCAAATTTCGAAAATGTCAACAGGATGCAACAATGGGAACTCTGGGTTCCAGTGCCCTTCTGACAAGAAATGTTCATGGGGCTTAAGAGAGGAAGGAGTGCCAGCAGCTTCTGGTTCTCCCTGGATCAATCATGACCCACCCCCTGAGCTTCCTGCAGTTAGGTAACCCTGAATGTTCCTTTTAAAAATGCCCGTATTCTAGTGACCAGCTGGGGTGGCATCCGGGGGCCAGACAACTGTACAAGAACGTGAGGACATTGTTGCCCAAGCATCCTTTCTTTAAGCTGTGAGTTCCCGTGGAAATGTTCAATGCTAACACAATCTCAGAGTTACTTCTTGTTAAAAGGGAATTCTAAGAGTTGTATTTGCCAAGACAGGGCATTTAACTATTATGTCCAGAGGAACCTTCCCACATGGAACTTAGGAGTAGAAGATTCACTAATTCCAATCCTTTGAACGTTGTTTTTCTCATACCCAAGATGGGACAATGAGAATCCTTTTGGGATTGTTGTAAGATTAGAGATAAGGTATGTAGGGATCAGTAGTTGGTCATTATTTCATTGTGTGCTGGATATTTATTTCTCCATAAAGAACAGGAAAAGAATTCTTGTTCTTCCCATTGAATTTTTTTAAAGCAATTAAAGAAATAGGATTAGGGAACATTCACTCATTATTTTCCACAACATAATTTTCCAGTAAATTGAGTGAAGGGCAAGCTGAATCTGAAGCTGTATTTTTGTGATCAATAAAGTCGTTTCCTCTCGCAACACTGGCTGTGCTGCTGAAATCTTGCAGGAAGGAAGTTCTGCAAGACTTTGAGTAAAACATTTCCTGGCAAAAGCCGAGAACACACTGACCAGTGGCAGAACTGAATTGACCAACAGATTCGAAAAGTTGAATTTACAGTGTTTCTGACAAATGACAAAGAACTTGGAAGTCCCAATTGTTACT